GAGTTAACCCAATTTTCATTCTATCCATCCACAATATAACCTCGCCATACTGCTAATTGAGAAAGCAAATGTGGGTGTGGAAAGGAAGTGGGAAAACTGAGAGGTTTGGGAGGATTATAGAGAAAATTGGACGTGCATACCTCTGAAAAATTCCGCCATAGTTACGTATGCTCCTGAATTATAGCTACAATGCAATTGAAAATTCCGTAGTAATGACTCATCGGAGAGTGCTTTTAAGGTGGCTCACCGTGGTTTCCGATATTTTTCAAGCACTTCTTCTTAGGTTGAGTTATACTACAAAGCATATACATTTTCAGCTGGCTTCATTTTCTTTTCTTTTCATTTTTTTTTCTCTTTTTAACATCATCAATTTAATTGCAAATTTAATTGCACAAATGCCTACTTAAGCATCGATGCAGGACAGATAACAAACCATCTGACACATTTAAAAGAAACAACACAGTAATGTTAAATAATCTTCCCCATAAACAGACTGGATCTGAGAGACAAGTATTCTCATGACTTGTACTTTCATACACATTTTATCATCAGATCTAGAAATTTGAGAACTTTCAGTACAAGTGGCTTTTCAGTTATGAAGAGGAACCTTTCATCGCTCTTCTTTAGCACTGGCTTAGAAGGAAAAAGTGCACATGAGATTCCTTTCGCAAACTCGGACTGTGTGCTCTCGTTTTGTATTAACGAAAAGCTACGTCAGACCACCCTTAAAAGTACAGAGAACCAAGAAGAAACAAAGAGACGTAAAGACGGGAATGGATTTAAGTAGGTGAACTATCCGATGTCATGTTTTTCTCGAATGAATCCATACTGAAATACTTATGACACCAATTTTCTTTAGACAGATTATCTTGTCTGTAAGTATACTTAATTGTGTTCATAGTTGGTTCCTTAGTCTCTACAATGCCTCGTTTAATTTGTTTTTCATTGTATGCATTAAATTTATTCTGATAAGTAACTATCTCTTATAATATAAAGATCAGCCGAAACCAATCTGAGATAGCCTGCAGTGCAGGAATATTTTGGGGGCTGGCAAACGCTGCTTGATTGGAAAGGGTAGAAATAAAGTGTTGCAATTTAACGTGGCAGTTACGCTACCAGCTACACGAGTTAGAAAAAAAATGATGAGGATTGATACCGCCGCTATTAAATTGGTTGTCCCGGGAAAAATAGCAATGACAGGCCAAAGGTTTTCCTCAGAGAGAGATATGTTAGTTATTGTCCTAATTTAACACATTTCGGGGTCTCCAGTGAGTCTGGCTTTAGCCAAGAAATATCCGTCTATCCTCGCTTATGTTCTCCATAGTGTGAACAGAAGAATGGTTTATTTTAGGGGATGAAGAGGTTTAAAACACACTTGAATCCTTGGCTAATAAAGAAAAACTTCTATTTGGCATCAAAATCAGTTAAAGACAATCACGTTATTAAGAAGCAAAAGTCAAGTGACTTGACACCCATTTTTGCTCGGCCATCAGAAAAACGTTTGATTAAAAAAAAATATTTTTTCCTCTCGTATTTCTTAAAATTAGAAAACCTTTGTCAGAAGTCCCAAACATGGACATTGCAGCTGGTGCTGAAAACTGGGACCAAGATCTGGCGGATATCCTTAACATTGTGGGCGCAGACGGCTGTGATAATTCTGCCAGCTCCCCGGTTCACTCGACAGAGGACACAAATGAGCCGATTGAAGATGACCTTGGAAGAAACTGGTGGTTTTATCCTGGTCAGGAAATTGTAGATTCACAACCGAGTCAGAATACTAACTCAGGTTGTGATGGCCTGAAAGAATTGCCAAGTCAGCAGGCGTTAATGTTTCAAAGTACCTACCCCAGCCTCAACCCAAAGATTAAGTCTAATGGTACGGTTTTTCCACTGGACAATTATATGGCAATAGGTCATAACAGCCTAGATAATGGTACATGCATTGTTCGTAACAGTACCATTAAGGACAACAACCGTCATTTGAAGCAAAAACGCAATGCTCGTAGCTGTTCATACGGTATGGATTGCGCAGTGCTGGACATAGAAGCAAGTTTGTCTGGTGTTAACCACTCTATGGAAAATAAAGGCAGAGACAAGCTTGAGACCTGCAGCTTCATGAAAAAGAAAAAGCCAAAAATTCCACAAAAATCGTCGGGCCGGTTGTTTGGAATTCTTTCTCTGATATTTCGAGCATTCACCGATCCGTTGACATCAGAGCTTGAAGAGCGATACTTTCAAGTGCTGCAGAAAGCTCTCTTAGAAATTGAAAATACCCGCCATAATTTGTCAGAGCAGTCTCACGCACAGCAAATTTGACTCTATAACTTCCATGGTTCATACACATGTGACTAAAATGATCGAATTAGACGGCTTTGTGTAAAACCTTAGGCGAGAAATAAACGAATAGTCATTACGTTCACTCACGAGATATCGCTAGGTTATTATAGAGTGTTTTCACATAACGTCATGGTGGCCATATTGGTGTCCCAAAACAACGAAACGGCGGCCATGTTGGTGTCCCAGACCAATCCTCTGGGAGTTGAACTCTTTTCTTATTGAAACGCTTTCTTTGGTTCCAATAAATTTGCATAGATGCTGGCCCCGTGAGTGAAAACACTCTATAGTACCACTTATTAACCGTGGCCTTGATATATTGATCTCGCTATCGCTTGGTCAATAAAAAACATCTCACCGCAGTGAGTTGTACACTTGACCCAGCGATATAGTCATATGACACTGGTCAGCGGATACATTTTTGACAGCTGTCAGTTGAACATAACATAGATGCTCGACAGTCTAGACGCTCACTATCAAGTTAAACATAGATTGTATATGCCTTGGACACCTAGCTAGTAATGCCCTCTCATTACAAGGAAATCTTGCTCTATCAGCAACCAATCAGAGCGCGCGTACATTTGTAGCCAAAAAAAAAAGGTAGGTCTAAAATGACACTTAATTGAGGTATTCTAAGGATTATGTGATAAGGGTTTTCTTGATGAAAGAATTATTTAATTTGATCAATACTGGCTAGCGTAGAACATAGGTGTATTATAATAATTTTGTTAAATGTGCTTTTACCCATATTAACTATTGGAATCAGAATTTCGTTAATAAACATAATGAATCATGAATATAGTACTTAACGTGGAAGAACAATGTGGGAGTAAATTAACCTTCTATTCATGCTATTAGGCGTTTTGGGAGAGGGGTGGCGGGGGTATGGAAGAGGGGGGAAAATATCGCCCTCTTCTCGTGAGAAACATTAGAGCTAACAGGGAAGTTGCATGATCCCAGGCTAGAAGAGAACGAGCCAAGCACCCAATCATGTTAGAACGGTCTATTGAAGCTATTTCGGAGTTACATTCATTTCCAAAATATTTCAAAATATTTCTTTTTTTTCATTTCCAGCTTTTAGATAATTTTGTAAATACTTATTAGTTAAGTTTAAAACATTGTAATTAGTAATTAGCTAACACTGTAATTAGTATTAGATAAAGTGTTGTAATCAGTTAATTATAAATAATGTAATATAATCATTGTTCCTGAAAAGCCCCTTTGGGGAGGTAACAATAAAGTATGTATGTATGTATGTAAATATTATGGAAATGTACCTGCAGTGGTTATTATATGTTTCTCAGTATGGTTTTAGGAAAATATTCAGAGAAGCCCATTTTAAAATAGTTTTCATGAGTCTTCTTCTTCTTTTTAGAAACTTTTTCTAATGTGTAAACCTAAACTGAAATTATCAAGCAGCAAACAGTCTTGAAAGCAAAAAGAACCGAGAGCTGGTTTTTACGGATACAAAAAGTGTTCTCGTTTTTCTTTAAAAAAAACTTAAAAAACTAACTGTAAGTAACCAAGAGCCCATGGCCCATCATGGCAATGGACTCCTGAAGTAAAATTTTTGTGTAACCGAATTGATTTCAGGAACTTGCAGACATTTTACATATAAAAAGCAGTACTCAGTGTCACGATTTTTGTGACTTTTTTTACAAACTATACAAAATACTCCTGGTCGTACAGATAAGGTGACAAATGATAGATGTGCAGACGTTTAAAATTTATAGAATCTGCATTCAAAATATTGACTTGACAATGTGCTAAGTAACTCTTATTGAGTCCAAACATGGCATATATAGGTCTTTCGTTTTTGGTTAACTGATAATGGAACTCCTGATTTTGCATGAGCGCTTTATCAGTAACCACTTGCGAACAAATACCGTGTATTTTAATTCACGCACAAATTTTTGATAACCATTTTCAGGAATATCTTTCCTGGCTGTAATAAGTTGGAAACCTTCTGATCGTTAATCATTTTTATCCCTGGGGCAAAAAACCAATTTATTGTCAGAAATCAGAGTATTATCCAGTCGGCTGATGGTTGCCTGCCACTTGGCTTAAACCAAACTTGCTGTGGTCTTTAAGTTCTACTTTTCCCCTTCCCGTCAAAAATCTAGCTCGGACAATAAATGAGATACAGTAAATCCTTCTGAGTCCATAAAAAAATAACTGACAGTTATCGTCAATCATCATTATCATCATCATCATCGTCTTCATCATCGATTTTTCTCCCTCTTAATAACTGGAGATTCCGAGGTCTTTCCTTTCATGAAGATAAATCAGTTCAACTACTCAGCCAGGGAACTGGAAAGGAATTAAAATAAGCCAATGCGAAATAACTGTTATCTTTAGACTTTTTCTTGGGGATAGGGAAAAAATGACGGATTATTCGTAATTCTTTACCTATATTTTAAATAAATTAGGTTATGCTGCACCTGAGCCATTTTTGAAAGCTTAGATGCTTTAATCAGTTTGAATTAATTTTTGACTAGATTCGAGCAAACGATCATGACCTCATGTAATAAGTGATTTTGATTCAACAGATCCCATTATCGTATTTATTGGTGGCTCAATCTAGCCCGTGACCCGTTCCGTTTTACCAGAGTGCAGCAGTAATTTTAAAGTGCGCCGGGGCTTGAGCACCAGTAACTTTTTAATGACTAGACCCAGGATCCCCAAACTGCCCCTATGCAGGACGCATCGCCTTCTTCGTCGAAAGAAACACCGATTTTCTTTGATGAAAATGCCAGGTAAGATACCATACCAGCACCAAAAAACACCGCACCCACTGCTGCGGCAATGATAAGAAAAGGAAGAACAGCTAAGCAAACCACGAGGTACACAATGGACAGAAAAAACGCCAGGAATGCACCTGCGGAATGAGAAAATGTCTATTAAAACAAGTAAGGAGCCTAGAGATTGGCTATTTATCTCTTTATGAGGAGCGCTGCAGCCGAGGAAAAATTACGTTTTACTGGGTACTGACTGAACATAACTGAAGACACTTCATTTCAATAGACTGGTTCTCAGTGCTTTTTGTTTGTCCGTCTTTCTGTTTTATTTATTTATTTATTTGTGGAAAGAGACAGGAGTTTAAATGTCGACTTTTGAATAGCTCACCCTTTCCCAGCAAACTATACCAAGGATTCTCTTTACTAACACCGCAGCAGAAAATAAACACCGCAAACCAACATGGCGCTCTTTCCGCTTTCTTCTTCGACTCTACTCTTCCTTGTTTTGTCCATACGTTTACTTTGTCCTTGCTTTTAGGAAATTTTGCCTTGGGTGCTGATAATTTTCTCTTTGTGTCTGGTATTTGATCAGACTGTTTGTTATTCATGTTGATATCTTTAAATGCTTTTTCTTGCCTGAACTTCGGTTTTACACTAGGAGAAGAATCTTCTGGCAATGGAGAACTGAAAAAGTGTGTATAAGAGAGCATGAATTAATAAGTATAAATCTGCTCGTTTGTTGCTCAGGTCACATCATTAAGAGCAGACATACTTTAAGTTATCGGTAAAATTGTTAGACTGCGAGAAGTCTCTTTTTTTTCTTTTGAGTCGTAAAAAATCTGAAGCGCACGCGCAAGGGGCGTAAGGAGCAATGGCAGAAGCCCGGCGAAGAAATAAGAGACGTCCTTTTTCCTCCCTCCGACACAATCCCTACTCCTTTTACTTTTTCGCTTATCGCGCGTAGCTCTGAGGAAAGAAGGACGACCGCACGAGGTCTACAAAATTGGCCGTCTGAAGGCCACTTGAGATTTTTAAGGTTACTGATAAGCCGATGATATACTTTCTTACTGTCTTTACACTTTTAGGTCAGATCTTATCAACTGCAGCTTGGTTAAATCAAGTCAGTTTAAAAACTATGACTCTAACTACTATGAATACCGTGTGGGGTATGGCCGCATTAAAAATGTAAGTCCCAGGCGCGANGTTTTACACTAGGAGAAGAATCTTCTGGCAATGGAGAACTGAAAAAGTGTGTATAAGAGAGCATGAATTAATAAGTATAAATCTGCTCGTTTGTTGCTCAGGTCACATCATTAAGAGCAGACATACTTTAAGTTATCGGTAAAATTGTTAGACTGCGAGAAGTCTCTTTTTTTTCTTTTGAGTCGTAAAAAATCTGAAGCGCACGCGCAAGGGGCGTAAGGAGCAATGGCAGAAGCCCGGCGAAGAAATAAGAGACGTCCTTTTTCCTCCCTCCGACACAATCCCTACTCCTTTTACTTTTTCGCTTATCGCGCGTAGCTCTGAGGAAAGAAGGACGACCGCACGAGGTCTACAAAATTGGCCGTCTGAAGGCCACTTGAGATTTTTAAGGTTACTGATAAGCCGATGATATACTTTCTTACTGTCTTTACACTTTTAGGTCAGATCTTATCAACTACAGCTTGGTTAAATCAAGTCAGTTTAAAAACTATGACTCTAACTACTATGAATACCGTGTGGGGTATGGCCGCATTAAAAATGTAAGTCCCAGGCGCGACCAAAATCAATTTTCTTTAAACAGTATCGACACATAGCAAAGAAAAGAGGCTATGATAATTAACGAAATGATCACCTAAGGGAAAATGCTTTGATCTTTAATCAATTCTTTAAGGAAATGTATGAAGATCAGTCTAGAGAATTTATGTATGGCTTACATAAAGGGTTTTAGTAAAATCCAAATAGTGGTCTATTACTAGGCTATATGTTATAGCCCACTAGTAGCGAAAAGCGTGGGCTTTTGGGCGGCAAAAAAGGATTAAAGTCTTGCTTTAAGTTGTTTTGTCTCGATATTTTTTGACCAACTAGTTGGATTTTACTAAAACAATTATTCCTCTCGCCCTCATGGCCTCCGAGTTAATAGCCCATTCGGCCTTCGGCCTCCTGGGCTATTGACGCTGACCCCATTCGGGCTCGAGGAATAAATGTTAAATATCACCCTCGTACCCAGCGTCTTCCTTCCCCTTAACCAGCGGTCGGGAAACGAGCGTCGTCTCGTCAAGCCAACATGCGCAGTAAGGGACTCGAGAGACTCGAGGTACGAGATTGACTCTATATCAACTCCGTACTTACTCCTTCGCCTCTATACATATTTCTGTGTACGACTTGATTGTTATCATCCGCGGCTGTTGCCCTGGTTTCCTGGAATTTATAAGAAGAAGTCTACTTTAGCTAAACGAAATGCGTAAGAGACTAATGTGTTTGTCCGACACAAAACCACTTACCCATCAGACATGGAGTCCATAGTTGGCAACCCTGTATAGTGATCACTTTCCTGGGTGTATATGCTGTCATAGTCCATATCCTCTAGGTCAATTATCTCAGACATTGTAGATTCCTTTACTGGACCGAATCGATGGATCTTTGCTTAAAATATCCTTATGCGGATTTTCGAGACAAAATCCTCACTAAAAAAGAAACAGCCAAAATATCAGTAGACAGTATACTAACGATTAATAGTGAGTTTGATTCACACGCACACAAAACGTTTCTGGTGAGATCC